TAAATGCATACAATTATATATTCCGAAAATGACAATAGTCTGAGAAACTGATCACTACGAAGCACCTATAATACTGATCAAAAATGTATCACCAAGTTAAGGAATGAAAATCTATGTTAACTAACGAAATTCAATATTATATTGTTCAAATTATAATATAATATGGTCAATTTATTTCTYAAAGACAGTACATTCATATACAGTATGTTCCATAAGTCCCGTAAGTCTAGTATCACCCTTAATATCTCCACGGGAAATCAATATATTTAAACGTGGTTTTTTTACAATACCAAGTATGGAAATTCTGATCGAATGGCATAAAATTCATTTTTTTTAAACTAAATTCAAAAAAAAATTTGTATACATTTAAGAATTTAAAATTTGTAAGATAGCCATTTTATTGAATATATTTTTTAAAACAGTTCAAAAACAAAATATATAAAAATTGAATAAAAATTGACCAARTTAGAGCAAATTATGTTTTTGAATAATTATAACAAAAATATTAATTGTTTCACATTTCAATAACAAAATATCTATTTCAGCATGAAAATACTTTTACATAGGTACATAATTAAAGTTTTGATTTAAATAGAAATAAAAATAGTCGTGTCTTATCGTTTGCTGAACAGCGAAACTGGTTACCTATTTTTAAGTATTTTAATTATATCATAAAATAATAGCTATAAAGAAAGAACTCAAGATAATAATTTTAATTATAATTTAGAAAATTGCGATATGCGTAAATATTGTTATTATAAATCACATTAATTATAACTGTATGATTATGTCAAATTTTGTAACTTTAGGTTCACTTTATGATATAATAAAACAGATGACGTAATATTATCCATATTATTTTTCTGGGTGAGTTAGATATTGTATAATATTTCACTCTTTATTAAACTATTAAAGTGTTTAAATTAGAAGAAAAGTATCTTCATGTTAAMATGAATATTTGTTTAACATAAAATATACTCTATTTTTCATATATTTTTTTTTTATTTCTTAGATAGAAACCGTAAGTAAACTAAAAATACTCAAATATTTGTTGTTTCTAGTTGGTATGCACAAATACAACATTCAACATGAGAGCTGTTACGTAAGAGGCCTGCATGTAACCTATTTCTTTGTTCAAAAACATGTTTTACAAAAAAAATTGTTTTACTGGGTGCATTATACTCGGATTTTGAAAATTCTTTTTTCATATAATACGGTTTTGAATATGCCCAATTTTCACAATTTTTTGAAATTTTTGTTACGTTTGTTTTGAGCAACGAATTTCTAAATTCAAGTCCAATTAAGCACCCTGTTGAAAATTGTCCTCTTTCTAACGAAAAAAAACTAATCAATAGACTACGATACAATACGAGAAAGTTTTTCCTGAATGCTTGTTTTGAGTTATTTTGTTAAAAATGATGCTTTTCATTTTTCGTTTGTGGTATACTGGTATATGCATACAATTATACACCMACCCTAATTGTCATCATAGACGACTTACACAAATGTCATGAGCGGCGTCGAAGTAATTGGATATTGCCTAAATATTGCCCCTTAATATAGACACCACCAGCAAGCCCCTTAAACATTTTCGATTTTTAAACAAAATCATTTACAGTGGCAATGGCGTACGCTTATTTGCCTATTTGCAACGCCGCGCAATCATAATATTGTCATAGAATTAAATTCATAATATTATTATAATATTATGACGCATCTGAATGGTATAGATATTTACTAAATATAATATTATTTTAAATTAGCATTTACACTCGCTCGGCAGCATACGTAGCGTTTAAAATTAATTTTCTGGTTGTAATTTTTTTAAATAAAAATCAACGAAGCTATAATTTTTAATTTCATAATTATTATTGTAGTAAGTAAACTTCAAAAGGGGATTCGACATTAAGGTCTAAGCTACTGTACTCAATTTAAGTTTAAAATATCTTTAGTCTTGATACAACTAAAATTAGTTTGCGTAGTTCGTTTAATATTTCGAAAAAAATTAGAATTTGACAGAAAATTGTTCATGTATCGTACTAAAGACTGTGTAAAAATTAAATCTTTTACCATTTTTAAATCATTATTAAAATTAAAAACGGAAAATGTTTCGTTCGATGTTAAATAACTTTGATTTTTCAAAAGACAATAAGTAAGTAGCCATAAAATTCGTGTTGAGAATGTATTATATTGTCATCGATTTTATTGACATAGAATGACCGCAAAAGAGTGGTACCCAAATTAAATTTCATCTCAACGAATAATTGTGAATTTACGTTCAATATTTTTTTACTTCCACCAAAAATATCTTATTAAGAACCTGGTATAAAATTTTCAACTTTTTTGATTGTAATTTTTTTATGCTTATATAATAATTCCAAAATATTTTGAAAATGTTTTGTTATATTGAATACCTATGTCCTATAC